ACAAAGTTTACTTGCCCCTCCCTAAAATATATCCTAATTTCAGGATTTCAGGCTTCTTTGCTGGATTATCTAGATGTTGTTTAGTTTCCAACTGATTTGAGATTCTCCTGTTATCTTTCTGTTACTGATTTCTAGTTTTTCCCATTATAGTCAGAAACATACTTTGTCTGATTTCAATTACTTTGCATTTGTTAATGTTTGTTTTATAAGCCAGGACATGGTCTGTCTTGATGAATGTGCCCTGGGCACTTGAAAAACATGGGTTCTGCTCTTCCTGGGTGGAGTGTTCTATAAATGTCGATTATTTGGTGAATGAGGTGATGTAGCTCTTCAATGTCTTCACTGATTTTCTGTCTATTTGTTCTGTTACTGAGGGGCCTGTGAAAGTCTCCAACCATGATTGTAGATTTGTCTAGTTCTCCTCTCAGATTTCCCCTCATGTATTTTGCCTCAGCCTAACCTTTTTTGTGATTTTAGCCTTATTCCAGAGATCGGTCTAGTCTGTCCACCACAGCTGTTTCACGTCATAGTGTTGCTTCCCCTGGGCATACAGATAATCCTTGTTGTTTGTGCACTCAGTCATTTTGCAGGGATGAGGCTCGCCCCACTTGGTAGAGAAGCCCAGCAGGTTTTAGTAATGTCCACCATGTTCATGACAGCACTAGTGGCACAGCAGCTTACGTATTTGAAGCTCTGTCATTACGTTCTAAGGAAAACCTCATTCCTCCTGTGCTTCCTCTACCCTTAATACTCCACAAGCACACGACTTCACTTTGAACACCAGATGTGTGGGCTTTCCACACATCCAGGAATTCTGTGACACCCACTGGGTGTCGGACAATTTACTTCTATTCTGACACTACCCACCTGGAGAGGGCATCAGATCGCACAGGTTAAGGGCTCAGCCCCACAAGACTGCCTCCCCTCCCCACCGCAGATGCCTGTTCAAAGTCCAGGTTGTCACCTGTGCTTCCAACTGACCGGCTGCTCCTTGGAAGTTCCCATGACACACTCTTTGAGTTCTGTTAATTTGCTAGAGTGGCACACAGACATCAAGGAAACATTTTACTTCCTGGGTTACTCGTCTATTATAAGAGGACTTAACTCAGCAACAGCCAGATGGTAAAGACGCTTAGGGCGAAGTGTGTGGGATGAGGCGCAGAGTTCCCATGCCCTGCAGGCGTGCTGCTCTCTCTGAATCTCCGTTTACCAACCAGGAAGCTCTCTGAACCCTGTCCTTTTGAATTTTTACAAGGCTTCATTGCACAGGTATGATGGATCAACCATTGGCCATTGGTGATTGAATTCGATCTCCAGCTCCTCTTCCCTCCCTGGAGGTTGAGGGAGGTGAGGATTCCAAGTCGCAGCCCTCTAATCACAGGCCCCCATCCTTAGGAGTTTCCCCAAAGTTGCCTCCTGAACATAACTCAAGTGTGGTTCACAGGGGCTTGTCATGAATAACAAGATTCCTTCTTTCACCTTGATGGCTCTGGAGCTGCGTCAGCAAGTGAGAACAACAGGCCGGACACTGTAACCGCTGCCCGCCCTTCATTCCCAATGTTCCTAGTTTCCTTCTGTTATTATTTCCCTTCTGTCTGAAGAACATCCTTCCGCTCTTCGTTTAAAGCAAGTCTGCGAGCCACCGGTTCTTAGTTCTCCGTCACCTGAGAACGTCTTTATTGCACCTTCATCCCTGAGAGATACTTAATCGGTTATAGAATTCTGGGTTGACAACTGTTTTCTTTCAGCACTTCTAAGAGATGTGCTACTTCCTCTGGCCTCCACAGTCTCTGATGACAAATTCCGTGTCTAGGTGTTGATTTCTTTGGGTTTACCCTGCCTCGGGCTCATTCAGTTCACTTGGGAGATTTTTGGCCATCATTTCTGCAGATGTTTTTAAAAACTCTTTAAAAAACTCTTTCTCCTACATGACCCTGAAACTCTGTTTTTCTGCCCTTCTTCCCACTGTTGTTGAAATTGGATGATTTTTCTATCTGGAGCTTTCTTTTGTCATCTCCATTCTGCCACTGAGTACATCCAGTGAGGTTTTTTTAAAAATTACAATTATAGTATTTTTCAGTTCTGATATTTCTTTTGGTACTTCTGTCCACTGTTTCTTTACTGGTAATTTCTACTGGAATATTTATTTGAAGAGTGTTTGTGATTGCTCACGTGAACTTTTTAATAAAAGCTTCTTTAAAGTCTACAATGTATCCATAGGTCACCTTTTTCCATTAGAGCTACTTTCATGATTCTTCACATGCTGAGCAACTTGAGATCGTATCTCAGACATTTTGAGTTATATGATGAGCAAGCAAATCCTAGGGAGGATGTTGATATTTTTGCTTGGCCAGAAATCTGTCTGGTTAGGCTCGGGCCACGAGTTCGGTGGGTGTTGGTTGTAAGGTCAGTTGTCTTCCAAGCCTTTACGGTGCTGTTTGCACCTGTCCCACGCGCACACCATCTTGTGGGCAGTCTGAGACCTGCGGAGGGGGTCCGCCTGTCAGCCCAGGTCTCGGGTGTGCTTGGTGTGCTAGGGAGGGTTAGCCCCATAGGTGGGGACTGTGAACACGGTGAGCAGGTCAGGGATGAGCCGAGGGGCTTGTGAGGGGCTCCATGGAGTCACTTTCCCGCCTCTCCCTTCTCACCTCCCTCCAGTCCTTTCTGGCTCCTGTGGCCCTCTCTCTCTTTGACCCTCCCACCTGGCACGGCCCACATCTGTAACTGAGCCCTTGCCCTTCAGAGAGGGAAGAAAAGCACAGGCTCTGCCACCCAATGGGGAGGAAGGCCCCTCTCAGACTCCTGGCTTCTGCAGGCTCCCCTGCAGCCAGGGGGTTACCTGGTGACGCCAGCATGAAAAATGGAGAAAAACAGGAGGGAAACAAAGGATTTCCCCCACTCCCAGCTTACGGAGTCCCCTTCCTATGCCAGGCCAGGCTTCTCTAGGCCTGGGAAGTTCTGCACCTCTCAGCTCACTTCTGTTCAGGGCTGCGCTGTGTTCAGGCTGGGAGATAACCAGGAGTGAAAACATGGCAGACGCACCACTTCGGTTGTGTTTAGATTTTGCTCTTCTTCCCCAGTCTGCATGCCACTGTTTATTTCTTAGAGTCCTCAAATAGCTGTCCATACATCCTGTCCAGATTTCATAGTTGTGTTTGGCAAGAACCAAGGGAGGGTGTATGTCAACTCCACTGTACTTAAAACCTGAACCTTCTTTCAGATAAGTTTAAAAAAAGAAGTTATAGAACGTGGATAGCAGTGTTTCATATTTGTGCAAAAAGAAGTATTATACGTACCTCCGTAGGTAAGTGATTAGAAAAAAGGTCTGGAAACTTACACCCCATACTTAACACTGGTTTCCCCCAAGAAGGGATAGAATTTTGTGAGGGGGAGGGACTGAAAGGAACTTTCACTTTAGACTTGATATTTCTTTTCTGAATTATTTTAACTATGCACTATTACTTTTATAATACTTATAATACTTATTATACTTATTATAAGTATTATAATACTTATAATTTATAAGGCTAGGAAAAATGTACAGTTCAAATACACAGAAAGCGTTTTTCTGGATGTATTCAACATACCTTGTTAAACATTTTTCTAGTGAAAAATTCATTTAGAAATCAATGGGATACATTTTCTTGAACCACTGATGTACCATTTTTTTTTTTTACCACAAAACAGAAGTTTCAGCCTGGTATATGAACTGTATGCATTCTTTCCAAGAAAATGCAGTATTAAATATATTTAAGCTAAAATAAAGACCTGGTTCTTAGAAAATACAACCCAAATTCCCATTGTCCAATCTTTGTAGGTGCCTGGCCTTTGTTCCTCCAGAATGTTAAAGTGCACGCAGGACCCAAATGTGTCACACGGGGAGACTGTTCTTACATAGGGTTTGGCTGATTGTAAAGGAAATCACAATGCAGGTGTGTACTGTATTGGTTCAGATGTCCTGACTTTCAAAACGGAAAGAGCAACTTCTTTCTCATACCAGTAGGCGTGAAGGGAGTGAATCAGTCAGTGCCCAAACCCTAGACAGAGCTGCTTGCAAGGGATCTGGTGTTCAGTCTACACTTACAGTGAAAAACTCTATTCATCCTATTGTACAAAAATCCATGTCAAATGTAAACCTTTTGAAATGGCCAGGTCACATTTTTAGGATCACTTGCTTTATGAATAAACTTGTTAAATATTTAACTGATCATAAGACTATATATAGTAGGGGCTTTATGAGTCAGGCATTAGTAGTTTAATAACAAACCAACTATGAAATCAGGCTATATAAGTATTGGCACCATTTTTCATCTAGTCCAGTGAAATGTAAAACCATCCACTAAACGTTCCTGAAGCTGTCAACAAGAAAAGTTGGTGTTACTTCTAACGTATGCTTGGCCTCTCTCCCTCTTGGCCAATATAACCGAACGCTGTAAGTATCAAGTACTAGAACCTTCCATTTGTAAAGTGTATGCCCAGTACAGCATTAGCAATTTAAAGAAGGAGGGGAATACACTAGAGATTTCTTTTAAACCTGCCCATTGTGCAGAATTGTTTGGGAAGCTGAGCTTCCAATAACTCAACAGCCTCCTTTCATGCAGTTTAGTCAGCTGAGTTTGAATGACCTGGCATACACACCTTTCAAGTTACTACCAATTTTTATTTGTTGAAGCAATGACAAAGATAATTAAATATGAAGTGTCATAAATATGTGCCTGTTACATTATGAACAGTTAAGATAAGCTATACCCTATTATACCTTTAGTAAACTTAAAAAAATGTATATATATGCTTAGAAATTTTATGGCCATGGCGGAGCATACATATAACCACAGGACAATATATTTTGACACCTCCTAAATAAGAGCAGCCATTTAGGTTTTAAAAGGAAGAATAGATTTCCTATGCACTTATTCATCTCAGCCCGGCATAGTGCTAGACATTACCCAATATTCTATTCTAATGACTGCTTTTAATAAAAGTAACACAGAAAACATATGTTTATGGCAAATTGTTTTTAATTCAGAACCTTAAAACCAAAGTTTTTAAAAGTCTTATATAACAATTATTGTATCCTGTATTTTAAATATCACTGGATTCTCAAAGTTTCAAACTTTTCAACAGGAAAGGTAATTTAATCTAACTTTCTGTCTTGCAAGTTGTCCCAAGAATTAGGAACATGATTATAAACACATTAGTTTCCAGAATAAGAAAGTAAAACTTTAAAACTTTAACTTAAAATTTTCAATAGGCTCAACAAGCCATTTTCACCATTAAAGAAAAAGAAAAGAAACCCTAACCAGCCAATGAGCTGGACATGGGAAGGGGACTCACAGTCATTTCCCAGAGTCATTGTCCATGCGTATGAAAAGTACTATAAAAATTTTGTCCGTTCATCCTCTATGTAAAAAGGGGAAAAGTTGGGCGATATTGCCTTGAATGTTTCCTCTCCATCTGGAGTTTCCAGCTGTAAGCACAATAAATATGAGTCTTTTTTTTTCTGAAGGAGGGCGTCTGGCTTGCTGGAAGCTGGAGGAAGCTGGGTTCTAAGGCCGTCCGCCCGCCAGCCGGAGCTACTCCCAGGAGGAGCTTCCCTAAGATTGTCAGATGCAATGGGAACGCTGGAGCTGGACGCTTAACTGATCATGCAAGACGCGGGTTTTAAAGGAACAGTTTTCACAATCAGCAGTGCCATCACAATGCCACATTCACTTGATCTTTAGGTACCTGCAATGTTTAAGCACTTTAATAATAATAACAGCAAAGCTCAACAGAATTACTAGCCAGGTTTTGGACAACATACAGTGCATCCTCTATGTACATCTCAGTAAGCAGGGGAACTTAATGTGTAAAGAATTCAGCTCAAAATGATACACATATTTTTAAAGTCTTTTTTTAAAAAAGCTCATGATTCTTACATATGACTATTCAAAGCTTGATGCAGTTGAAAGATGACATATGAAGGTTTTATGTGGAATAAAACATTCGTGTTCTAAAAAATGACCATAATACTTCAAAAACCCAGAGTGAAAATATCAAGGAAACGTTCAGGCTCACCTCCACCAGCAGATGTCCCTGCACCCATCGCCAGGCGCAGGGCGGGCGCAGGCAGAGGGCCTTTCTTCTTCTTATAAAGGATTCAGCCCTCATCCTCCCTGCAGACTCCTGTCTCCACCAGATGGAAACCAGTGTTTCTTAAATCCATTTTTTTATCCCCAAACCAAATGTGCCAAAGAGAAAGAGCACTTCACTTGCACACTTAACATGTGTGCCTACACACACCGCCATCCTCTCTCGTCAGGTTCCATGTAAGATGCGCTGGTTGATCTGGGAGTGATGCGTGTCACCCAGAATGAGTGATGGACGTCACTGAGGCTTTGTCACGAGCGAGTTCCATGGCGGGAGAAAAGGGGAGGCTCCACTTCTAACGAGTATCTTAGTATGTATCCCCATCCCCAATAAATAAGATAACCTCAACTTCATTAAATGCAATTCCAGATTCTAAGTTCTAAATGTCGCTGCCAACTATTATAGAAAAGGCGAAAGCCTACAGTGGGTGGGTGTCAAAAGGTCAGACCAGGAAGTGACTGACCCCCCATTGGATGTGTTCTGAAAAAAAAATCTTACAATTAAAAAAAGTGACAATCTTAGACTCAAAAAGAAACTTTAGTACTACTCTATAAACACATTGCACAGGAGCTTCGTTTATTGGAATGCATTTGAACCACTAAACTATTAAATAAGAATACCTGGATGACAACATCAAGAGAAAAGATGGCCCTCATCCAGCCCAGATATTTTTTAAATATCACAGTCCACAGGAAGTGGTGCTGGCCTAAAATACAAGTAAGTTTAACTTTTCAGGAATTACCAAAGTTTCAGTTTCACTTTACATGGAATTCATGTTGAAACGCACTTCTGACCTGATACTCTTTCACGGAGAAAATGAGTCTTAAGCTCCAAGCTGGAATGCTCTTACTGGTTATGGAATCCGGGGTGACTCAGAAGAAAGAGGGTGGAGACAGGCTCCACCTACACATGGGAAAAGAATACTGAATTTTAAGCATCTCTAGTCATTTAAAGGCATTTGGTGCCAGTGTCTTAAAATATTAAGATGCTTTAAAACAAAACCCTTATAAGACTATCAAAGATTTAGGGAATTATCTCCATGAATAACCAAATGTTTATGGCTTCAACTGTCACCTTACAGCCAAGGTAGGGGACCCAGGATTGATCAAAATAGAACAATCTTCTAGAAATTCCCTAAGAAAAGCCGTGCATCACCAGCTGGCTCCTTAAACCTGGGTCTGGGTTCATTTGATGGTTTTTGTTTTGTTTCTTCTTCTTTCATTGACAATTTTTAAAAGAGGCTGTTGGAGCAGCGGTGTCCTCCGTCAGGCTCTCGCTGAATAGCATCTCATGTATTCTGTCAGCCACGGGTTCTCTGAGGCAGGAGGCTTTATCCTTCTGTTTTTCTCCACATCAACAGAGTGTGCACGTTGCCTCTGAGCAACCAGTCTCCTTTTTTCCACCTGTCTTCTGTTCTTGGCTCGTAATGCTGATTCATGAATCTAAGGAGAGTTCAAAAATACCAGTATGATGACTTAAGTGCTTTTGTACTAATTTGCAAGAGCATTTGCGATGAGGCTACTACCCCCAGGTTGCCTAAAGAGGGCAGAGGCAAGCCCAGACCCAATAAATTCAGTCCTTCTGTGAATATAAGCTCCTCCAGAAAAGCCATTCCCACCTGGATTCTGTGGCTTTACCCCACTGACAGTGATAAAGGAACCAAGCAGAAAACGTACACTGGGCTAAATTTTAGGTATACACGGTAAGTAATGAATTTGCATGTACCTCTAGAAATTGGGTCTGGAAAATTACTGGAGCCACCTAGCATTAAGCATGCATGAGTATTCCATTAAAGGACTGTAAATGTTTTATAGCAAAATACTAAAAAAAATTTCTAGGGACTTTACCACCTACAATGGTTCATGCCACAGATAAACTCTGTTAAATTTAATCCCAGGAATTGCCAGCGGTCTTCTGTTAAACCAGAGCTTTGTCGTCTGAAATACCACTCCAAATAACACCCCGCTGTGCAGGTTCATTGGGAAGTCTGTGCAGTAAAAATTTGATTATGATATTTAATTAGAATTCAAACAGCTTACACTTTCTCTTTCTGCCTCTTTTTGTTCATTTTTGCTTCAGGCTGGTAACCGTGTCAATGCCAACATACTGATTATTTTGTGGCTCTACACATGAGGGACCTCTTGTATGATGTTGTCAGGACTTCACACAGGGCTGAGTTAGAGAACTAAAAGGCATGGGGTGAGGACCAGCAGGGGAAACACAATCGTCGTAATTTCACCCAAAGGAAAAGGGAATCTGTGGTAGATGTCAAGAGGTACAGGAGGTGCACTCCAACAGACAATAGCAAAGGAGTCCAGGAAATGTCAGTTATCAAAGCCAAAGAGGGTGGAAGCCTCTCGAGACTGCTGGCCAGTCTAGATGGGCAGCTGCCAGCCCTGGTTATTCCCCATCTCTGCACTTTCTGGTCCCCCGGGGAACATGAGAACCCTGACCCCAGCCACTTCTTCACCTGGTTGTGGGTGAGTAAACCTCTCCAGGTACCAGCTAACTCCTAGAACAAGCCTTCCTCTCCAGGCAGCTAACCACCAGAATTCTCCCGTTTGCCGATCAGATGCCCAGTTCTGGCTTGTCTCGGACCCCCTACGATCCCTACAGTCTCTCACAACCCCAAAGCACCAGAGTGACCACAGAATAAGATACCCAGTGACAGCAACACAACCCGACTCCCACCCACCGAGGGAAAGTGGGAAAGCGAGGCGGCATGCACCTACCTCGCGCACTGGGGCCGAGGCACAGACGTTGTGTGTTTTCTGGCTCCCCGTATCCGTCTGTTTTTCTCCCCACCCATAGAGAGCAAAGGGATGCTTGTTTTCTTTTATTTTACTTGATGATCTTTGAGGACTTTTGACGGCTTTCCTATTTTCTGCAGCAAATAAGGCACTTGGCTGGTGTCGAGGTTCGACGCTGTTGGGTAATTTGTCCGCCTCCCTTGTTCTGATCTCCTCGGGTTTTTCTTTGACGTCTTTTGCTGGTGGTGCTTTTTTAAAAAAGGAGATAACAAGATGAAAATGCTTAAAATCAGGTTTACCTGTAATTACTTTAAATGTTGGGGCCTAACATTTCATAATGCTTAATTAAGTTGGTAACTTTTTTGCTTACAGCTCAATTCACAAATTTCACTCCAAACAGAAATAAACAAGTTGGTATAATGATTTTCAGTCTATTTTTAAATCAACGACAAATACGCCAACCCTGAACCAAACCTATTTAAAAACAAGAACTGTCACTCATATTCTGAGATGAAACATCTCGATTACATATTGAAAGCTGGAAAGCACCGCAGCCTACTGGCTTTCTCCACAACCCCCAAGCCAGGGGCAGGCACCTGAATGCCTGGCTTCAAGGAAGGATCCGATTTACAGTAATCATTCAGCAGCTGCAAAGGCTAGGTTTCTATTAAGTCACTCAGCTCGACTTCCAGGATCCTATTGCTTTTGGATGTGCCATGATTATGGAAAATGCTCCCTGCGGCCTCACATGTCCGTCAGCACTGGCTGCAACCTGATTGAAAGGCCCTCAGTCATAATAGGGACTGGTTTCCATAGCTACTCACCTCTGCAGCAGCGGTGCCTTCCCAGCATGGAGAGCTGGCTAGGGCTCTGTGTGAAAGGGCTCCCCAACACCTGCACCAGAATCGACCTCACAGATCAAAGCCTGTGGTCTACACAGTCCTAAATTCTGTGAGCAGAGCCTGGGAAACTGGCAGGGAATGGAATGCCTGAGGTGAACATGAGCTATGAAGGGTACACTCCCAAACATAAGTACCTCCCTTCATTGCCTTTTATGATTTTGCCATTATTTTTTATAAACCCCATACTTACCTGTAAAAGTTATTTTGCTTAAATCCTTTGTGAGCCTACATTTTGTTTTAGCCTAAGCTTATATTTTGTTTGTTTTTGTTGATATAAAATTGGCATATAACATTATATATATTTCTGGTGTACAATGTAATTTGGTGTTCGTGATATTTGTATAAATGTGACCACCACCTAGGTCACAGCCTTGTCACCATCCATTGCCACACAGCCGAGCCCCTTGACCCATTTCACTCTGCTCCACAACACCCTTCTCCTCTGGTAACCACCAATCTGTTCTGCTTCTGTGAGTTTGTTTTGGTTTTGGTGTTTAGATTCCACACGTTAGTGAAATCATAATTTGCCTTTCTCCATTTGATTAATTTCACTGAGCATAATGCCCTCAAGGTCCACCCACATTGTCACAAATGGTAAGATCCCCTTCCTTTTAAAGACTGTGTAATATTCCATTGTGTATATGTACCACCTCTTCTTTATCCATTCATCTGTTGGTGGACACTCACGTTGCTTCCAGATCTTGGCTGTTGTAAATGGTGCTGCGATAAACACAGGGGTGCATATAGCTTTCTGAGTTAAGTGTTTTTGTTTTCTTTGGGTAAATTCCTAAAAATGGAATTACTGTGTCATATGGTATTTCTATTTTTAGTTTTTTGAGGAACCTCCACACTGCTTTTCACACTAGCTGCACCAATTTACATTCCCACCAATAGTGTACAAAGGGTCCCATTTCTCTGCATCCTCACCAATTCTTGTTATTTCTTATCTTGTTGGTATTAGCCATTCTGAGTGGTGTGAGTTGACATCTTGTTGTGGTTTTGATTTGCATTTCCCTGATGAGGGAACCTCTCTCCATGTGTCTGCTGGCCATGTGTATGTCTATCTGGAAAATGTCTATTCATATTCTCTGCCCATTTTTTAATCCTCTGTACTTAAAAGAGACAAGCTCAAATGTATCTGCAGGAGCAGGACACAAAAGATAAAAATATAGAAGAGAAAAGATAACACATCACTATAATATTAGTATCTATAAAATTCTTAAAACAGTGCCTGGTACGAGACTTTTTCCATCAAAAGATGAATGCAAAAAAGATGTGGTAGATATACACAACAGAATATTACCCAGCCATGAAAAGGAATGCAATGTTGCCAGGTGTGACCACATGGATGGCCCTAAGTGAAGTAAGTCAGAGAAAGACAAATGCCATGTGATTTCACTTATATGATTTCACTTATATGTGGAATCAGTAAAACAAATAAAACCCAGAAACAGACCCATCAATTGGAGGACAAACATGATAGAAGAAGGCCTGAAACAGGTGAAGGGGATAAAGAGGTACAAACTCCCAGTTATAAAATAAACAGGTCACAAGGATACAAGGTACATTGCAGGGCATACAGTCAGTGATATTGTAATAACTGTCCATGGTGACAGATATAACTACACTTATTGTGACAAGCATTTCATAATGTATATAAATGTCAAATCACTGTTGAATAATATATATATCATGTCAACTATACTTCAATAAAAAAATAAAATGCATTTTTCAGACAAACCAAAATAATGTTTACCACCACAGTGGAAGGTTATTATTCCCCCCTTTTCAGTAAGTGATAAAACATTCACACAAAAAGAAGTTCAGTCTTGATTTGGGATTGTGCCATCTGATTCAAAAACCCTGAACTACATGTGGCTATTAAATGTATGTTTAAGTTAATTAAAATTAAATAAAAATAAAGATTCAGTTCCTCAGTAAAATGAGTCAGAGCTCAAGTGCTCTGAAACCTCATATGTCCAGCGTCCCAAAGAGAACACCTCCATCGTCACAGAGAGTTTTATTGAACGGCCTGATTTTTTTAATGTATTTGAACAACAAAATTTGACCTAATGGGCATACATAGAACACTGTACCAAATAACTGCAGAATACGCAAGCTAGTCCAGCACACATGGAGCGCTCACAGGAACTATATACCCAAGGCCACTAAAGTAAATCTTAATACATTTACAAAACCGACATCATATACAATATAGTCTCAAACTATTGTATAATTAAGCTAGCTAGAACAATAAAAATAACCTTTTTAAATTTCCAGGTCTGAAATTTTAAAACTGTTTTAAATAAAGCATCGATCAAAACCAAATCTCATATGGATACACAGAAATGTGGATTTATTCAATGCCACTGAGCCGCACACTTAAAAATGGTTAAAATGGTAAACTGTACTGTGTATTGTATATCTTACCAACAATTTTTTAAAATAAAAAAGTGGCAGTGATAGAGAGCATTCCTTTCTTAATCCTGGTCTTATTAGAAATGTTTCCGAAGTTTCCTCACTAAACAATGTAATAGATTTTTAGCAAGTTACAGTTTTATTAACATAAATACGTTTCCTTTCATGTGCATTATACATAAATGTGTAACTTCATTGATTTTTTCTATATTTTAAAAATCATGAAAATTAGAAAATGTGCTGAGTGAATAAAAATACTGTGTGGCGGGAGAACTAAGACAGTGGCATGAGTACAGCAGCGGAAATCTCTTCCCAAAACCAAATATATTTTGGAAAATACAACAAATACAACTAATCCTAAAAGACCAGAAGACACAGGACAACTTCCAGACCACATCCACACCTGTGAGAACCCAGTGCCTTGCGAAGGGGGTAAGATACAAGCCGCAGCCCGGCAGGACCTGAGCGCCCCTCCCCCCAGCTCCCAGCGGGAGGAAAGGAGTCAGAGCGGGGAGGGAGAGGGAGCCCAGGACTGCTAAACACCCAGCCCCAGCCATCCGCACTGGAGCACACACACACAGTGCGTGCGTGGGATGCTGGAAACTAGGGAAGCAGGACAGTAAGACCTGTGAGCGGGTCCCCGCAGCCGGTGCCCCGGGGACAAAGAAAAGCGAGAGCTTTTTGGAAGTCTTAAAGGGACAGGGACCCCACAGCTGGACGGAAGCACCCTAGGACACTTAGCACAGCAGCTGTGAACCTCAGGGAGCTCCGCATGCCCGAACCCCTGCAGTGCAGCTTGGAGGCCCCTCACCAGGATAAACAGCCTCCCGCCTGTTCCCCCTTGGACACGGCGCCGCCATATTGGAGCAGCAGCCTGAGGCCGGCCACACCCACAGCAACTGCAGAACTAAATAAACTCCATAGCAGCTGGGCAAGATCAGAAGCCCTGTCTGCACGCAGCTGCCCAGCACAAGCCGCTATAGGCCGCTGTTCTCCCAGGAGAGGAAGGCCATAAACTGGCAAGAAGGGACTTTCTCTTACCCAACACACGCGCCAACTCCCCACAAATATATCTATCGCCATGAAAAGGCAGAAGAAATTGATACAAACCAAGATCACAGAGGCAAACCCTGAGACAGAGATAGACCTAACCAGTCTTCCTGAAAAAGAATTGAAAATAAAGCTCATAACCACACTGATGGAGATGCAGAGAACTATGCAAGAGCTAAGGGATGAAGTCCGGAGGGATATTACAGATGCCCGGAGGGAGATTACAGACATCCGGAGGGAGATTACAGAAATGAAACAATCTCTGGAAGGATTTATAAACAGAATGGATAAGATGCAAGAGGCCATTGATGGAATAGAAACCAGAGAACAGGAATGCATAGAAGCTGACACAGAGAGAGATAATAGGATCTTCAGGAATGAAACAATATTAAGAGAACTGTGTGACCAATCCAAAAGGAACAATATCCACATTACAGGGGTACCAGAAGAAGAAGAGAGAGAAAAAGGAATAGAAAGAGTATTTGGAAGAAATAATTGCTAAAAACTTCCCCAAACTGGGGGAGGAAATAATCAATCAGACCACGGAAGTGTACAGAACTCCCAACAGAAAGGATCCAAGGAAGACAACACCAAGACACATAATAATTAAAATGGCAAAGATCAAGAACAAGGACAGAGTTTTAAAGGCAGCTATTGAGAGGAAAAAGGTCACCTACAAAGGAAAACCCATCAGGCTATCATCAGACTTCTCAACAGAAACCTTACAGGCCAGAGAGAATGGCATGATATACTTAATGCAATGAAAGAGAAGGGCCTTGAACCAAGGATACTGTATCCAGCACCACTACCATTTAAATATGAAGGAGGGATTAAACAATTCCCAGACAAGCAAAAGTTGAGGGAATTTGCCTCCCACA